GTCAGCGTCGGGGAAATGAAAGCCAGCATTACCCCTGTGTACCCCGGGGAAATGAAAGCCAGGTTTACCCTTGTGTACCCCACGGGCAGGTGGCGATCATCTGTTTCTGTGACCTTGACATATAAAGCGAGAGTGTGGTCAAATTGTATGCCCAATTACCAGTCATTTCCCTAACTTGAGTCAGTTACCCATAAGGGACAATTACTCTCCATTAAGGTAGTTTTTTTTTTTTTTTACTGAAGGTAAAAACTAAATATTTTTATTCTGATTGTTTCACAAAACAACAAATAAAACGTATTTTTCAATTCTTTAATTCTTTTTTATTTCGTCGCCCAAGTAAAAAAGCCGTCGCCCAAGTAAAAATTCCACCGCCCAAGTAAAAATTCCATCGACCAAGTAAAAATTCCATCGCCCAAGTAAAAAAGTCATCGCCCAAGTAAAAATTCCATCGCCCAAGTAAAAAAAGCCATCGACCAAGTAAAAAAGCGATCGCCCAATCGCCCAAGTAAAAAAGCCATCGCCCAAGTAAAAATTCCATCACCCAAGTAAAAATTCCATCGCCCAAGTAAAAAAGCCATCGCCCAAGTAAAAATTCCATCACCCAAGTAAAAATTCCATCGCCCAAGTTAAAAAGCCATCGCCCAAGTAAAAAGCCATCGCCCAAACCTTCTCCCATCTCATTGATTTAAGCAGCTGGGTATTACATCCGGGTAATGATCTAATACCACGCGCCCTACAACCTTGAGCAGAGAGAAGAGAAAAAACCTCACTCAGATGGAATTATCAAATTTAAAACCCTGCCGACCTGAACAATAACGAACATGTACTTTAACACGAAAACAAAACTCATTAGTGAAAATAGTTGCCTAATTGCATTCGTAAGTTAACGTAGTTTACTTAGCTTTATAAAAAGTTTGAAACATCCAATCAGAAAGATCGAGACAAAAGCAACTTTTCTAACCATTTCTTTAATTGGTTGTTAGGAACAACGATGGCTACAACGTCTAACGACACAATAATATAGACATAGATGTTGAAGCTCTGATGGTTGTATACAGAATACAGACAGGACTCAAGGGACGGAATGGCTTTAATTGTTTCTTTTTACTAGCCGGTATCAATGTTTGGGCCAAGGCTAAGTTCAATGTTGAAGATATGGTCAAGATAATAGTAAGGGTTGCGATTAGAGAGAAAATACATCAGGCGGAGTTGGTAACTTTTAGTGAGCAGCCATTTTGCTTTTTTTTTCTGTTATACCAACAAATGATAGCGATGATTTAAATAAACTAAGCCAGATACGAACAAGCTTAAATGCTGATTTAAATAAACGTGTATCATAGCTTTTCGAATAGGATGCATTTGCGGATGGGGGAGGTTGGTCGATATAATTTCGATAGTGCAAATCCTACAGCGGTGCGGAGGATGGGTTTGCGAATTCTCTATAATTTCAGTGATACAAATCCTAACGGGAGGCGGGGGTTAGGGGCGGGGTTTCGATATAATTTCTAAATTCACGGACAGAAATCCTACCGGGTTGCGGAAGATGGGGTGTGGGGTGGGGATTCTCCATAATTCCAGCGACACAAATCCTACCCGGGTGTGTTTGACATTCATTCTGCCGGGAGATGAAAGTGCTGCCAACAGCATCTGCTCTCTGCGTGCAGACGACCGATGCACGTTACATCTGCTCGGCACACAGCCGGTGCAACTTGTGGAGTGAGCACAATAAACACGGGTACCAACTCACACACAACAAACACGGGTATCCACTCACACACAACAAACACGGGTACCAACTCACCCACAACAAACACGGGTACCAACTCACACACAACAAACACGGGTATCCACTCACACACAACAAACACGGGTATCCACTCACACACAACAAACTCGGGTACCAACTCAGCTACACACACAACAAACTCGGGTACCAACTCAGCCACACACACAACAAACACGGGTATCCACTCACACACAACAAACTCGGGTACCAACTCAGCTACACACACAACAAACACGGGTACCAACTCACACACAAAAAACACGGGTATCCACTCACACACAACAGACATGGGTACCCACTCACACACAACAGACATGGGTACCAACTCACACACAACAAACACGGGTATCCACTCACACACAACAGACATGGGTACCCACTCACACACAACAGACATGGGTACCCACTCACACACAACAAACTCGGGTACCCACTCACACACAACAGACATGGGTACCCACTCACACACAACAAACTCGGGTACCCACTCACACACAACAAACACGGGTACCAACTCACACACAACAAACACGGGTATCCACTCACACACAACAAACACGGGTACCAACACAACTACACACAACAAACACGGGTACCCACACACAACAGACATGGGTACCCACTCACACACAACAGACATGGGTACCCACTCACACACAACAGACATGGGTACCCACTCACACACAACAGACATGGGTACCCACTCACACACAACAAACACGGGTACCCACTCACACACAACAAACACGGGTACTAACTCAGCTACACAGAGGCCTAGACGCACATTTGAGAGGTCATATCATACACATAAAAAAAGTAAAAGTTCCCTTTCAAACATGAATGTGGTTAGCACTATGCCCAGCCGCCTTTACTTTTCCTAACGTGAGTTAGGTACCCACCAGAGCTGGATGGACTCAGGGACATTTTACAGACGAACCCGGATTCGAACTCCAACCTTTTGGGTTCGCAGTAGCACGAATAGTATGAGTTATACTTATAGAGACTTCCTTAACTTGGTCTAGTGTACCTGCTACTATGTCCACATACTCTACCCCACCCTCACTTGATCTAGTCTACCAGCCACTAAATCCAGGTACTCTATTACACCCTGACTTTATTATTCTCTTAAAGTGCAGGCTTACGTCATTAATATGTCTCGTGAACTCTCAAATGACCCGGCCCACCATCCCCAACCGCCATAACTGACCTAACTTGACCTGTATTTTAACAATCTGCTTTTGAGATTATTAATTTCATTTAGAGTTTTAGAGTGCAAGTTTTGTAAAAAAAAAAAAAAAAAAAAGCAAGATGGATTAATGTTACATGCCATCTTTATTCACCCCCCACCCCCAAAATAATTAAAAAATATATATAATCCCATTGATACCCCCCCCTCCAAAACATTTTTTAAAACAACATAATCTCATTGATAACCCCCCCCCCCCCCCTCCATCATGCTCTCTTTAACTAATCAACAAAGTGCACCTGAATTAATTCTGTCTTGTCACGTGATGTTTAAATAGAGGCCTTAGATGCACAACTGTGTGGTCATGCTTTGATAATTTCAATTATGTGTAATTTGAATTACGTGTAATGATTCATTTTGTAATCGTAAACTTTGCAAACAACACATCAGGCACAATCAGTGCCCACTTCTTTAAATCTTTCGAGGGTATAAACATGCGACCCTACCTCGCACAAAACAACTGCGTTTAATAACTTTGATTTAACAACTGTGATTTTGTTTCAGCAATATATTTATTTTCAACATGTACAAAAGAAAAGGAAGCACATCATTCCTTTTAGAAATTACTTTAAAACAAACGCTACTCCTATATGTGTAACTAATCTTCCCCTTAGATATGAGTGTGTAATTCTTAAATTGATACTATGATATGATGCAAGAATGTATTTTCCTGAACAGTTTCACAATATGACACAATAACTGTTTCCTGTTAAAGCTTGTAGCATGCCGCTTAATTCTAACATCCCCTCTCCGCCCACCATTACTCGCGTCACTTGTTGAATGGTCATTCAACATAAGTGGACAAGTAGTAAACGACTAAGTCCGGGCCAGATACAGATAGATTATAGTATAGTTACAGCAAAAACATTGTAATATTTTAACACGATTAGACGCCAGCGGCTTAGAGATGGGGGGGGGGAGGCGACCGAGCTGTGGACAGTGGGGGCGGAGGGCCATAGGTGGGAAAAATATTGATACAATTTAACTTATACCATTTAATTTCCTCAATGGCTTTCCCTAGGTAGGCCTATTTCAATATGGACAGTTTGCACCAAATATGACTATTGATTAATATACTATGGAAATCAAAATCGGCGGACGATACTTTATAAAAATTCGTTGATTAGAAATAGCCTTGTGATGCATGTTCATTATTAATTTGATGGAGTTTCGATTTCAATATCTGGATAACAACATAGTTTCTTTCAGGCATATCCTCGCACCCGTATCTCCCCACCCCTCCCCCACACACACACAAGTAGAAAGTTCCAGCCCCCCCCCCCCCCCCCCACGGAGAAACAAGTCTGAAAGAAACACTGGTCAATAATCATCATTGGCTACTCCTATCTATGAGGCTATTTACGAAGCTTCTATACTTATTAGCCTTCGGTTTTCACCTATTTCCATAACACGAATGTGGGTACGGCCAATCGATAAAAACACTCATTTCTTGGGAGATGTCTAGGAATACATTATGTCCATTTTAAAGTAGAATCCTTTACTTAACTAACGAAAACAAAACTAGGATTTTAACTATGAGTCATACTTAAAGTTATGTACCGTTGTTTTAAATCCGCTTCGCTGACCACAAACCTAACCTATTCTTATTGCAGCTAATGAGCTATCATCCTAATTATATTATTATAAGCATAACTTTCAAGTTTTAACTAAGCATACCCAATACTAATACCCATCTATTATTCTCGAACTTATCTGTAAAATAAAACCTAAAATTGTTTTGTTTTTCTTATGTTTTGAAAAGATATTGAACTAGATTTTTAGATGAAGAAATTAAATCAAATATGTTAGTAATGTAGATCTATGCATTCAAGACCTAAGTGAAATTAATTATAATATTAATTTAGTAGGTCTATAAAATAATACTAGGTCTGTAAATTATAGTATAATTATAATAATTTATTAATATAGGCCTAATTAAATTAATAAACGGATTGCAGAGTCTCCTACCTGAACTACACAGCCTTTAATGGCCTTTATCCTAACTATCCAATACACAATCTCGTTTGTTCTGCTGTAATCCACGGTCTAAAAAACACATAGCCACTGCTTCACAGTTGTGACACAAACTTTGGTTTCACAAAAGTCTCACTCGGAAGTCGGTTATTGTTGTGGTGGTGTCCGTGTCAGTACACACACCTTCCCGCCGTGTGTTGTCGTCTGGTCTTCTCCACGAGGGAGTTCCTGTGTGTCGCTGACCTAGATAAGGGGAGCGTCCTACAAACTACGTCACACTTGTTTTGGGTGACAGGTGGGGTTGAAGCTTAAGCAGTCTCGTATTTCTTTATTTACACGACTAGGTTGTCTCCCCTAAAACAACTACACACTCATACATTAAAAACCGAAAAGTTTTTTAAAAAAAATTATTTCGCAATGTTTTTTTTAAAAGTCTAAGTGTAACTGGAATTAGTTTTTTTTTTATTTTTATTCTGTTGTCACGTGATTGTATAACTGCTCTATTTTTAGTAACAGGATATAATTAGCCGTTCATTGTTGCTCCTCAGGGGATATCCCCAACAAACACGGCATGGAAAAGTAAATATTGGCCGAATAGGAAAACGTCAACCGGTTTTAACGAAGCATGGATTTTAAGTTGGCGTTATTGAAAGAAGCTTTTTAAAATGCTAGGCAGGAGTGTGCTGTTATTGCCTCACCTGTAATGAATCATATGAGATGTAATCGGTATTTGATGTGATTTATTACAGGTAAAAGATTTTTTTTGTGTCGTGTAGGTTAGTGTTAAGGCTAAGTTAACAGTTGGAGTTAAGGGATATAACATATTTGATGCTTACAGTGTTTCTTTCAGGCATCTCTTCGGGGTGGCACCGCCCCCCTCCCACTAAGCACGTCTACCGCCCCCCACCCCAAATGAAATAGAATTTATACAGAAAATATCTAACTTTACCAGTGTGTGCCCCCACCCCCACCCCCCCCCCCCCCCCCCCGGGAAATTTAGTCCGTCCGCCCCCCCTCCCAGAAAGTTTAAGTGCCAACCCTGAAGACAAAAGTGTGAAAGAAACACTGCTTAAAAATGTTACGGTTAAGGGTTAATATCTGTGTAAAAGGTTGTAGCATATTTGACTTGCGAATGGCATGTATTGTGTTACAGGTCGATTTTCAGATTGCAGCAGGGTGTAAGGATTACGAGTTTAAGCTAAGGTTCGCTTGTACTAAAATTTAGGGGACGGAGAAAGATTTAAACGACAAGCAACAACCACCTGAAAACCAGAATTTGATTTGAATGTATTGTTTTAGGAAATAAAGGTAATAAAACAACTACTGTAACACGCATAGTCAAGGAAGTTGCTATATGATATAGTGGTCACATAAAAGAGGTAGATTAAAAGCTAGAGGTGTCCTAACCTACTGTAGCTGCTAGAACACCAAGTCCTGACCCCTCGGAGACTATTTTTGATATCACTATGCCCCCCCCCCTCCCTGAGTACGTCCACCGCCTCCAGCAACCCCTTACAAAATAGAAAAAAAAAATTAATTTGTATAGAAAATCTATACTTTAAATATATACGTTAACCAGTATCCGTCCCCCATACCCCCTACACAGAAATGTAATTGCACCCTCTTCCCAAAAAGAGCACCTCTCATCCTCCCCCCCCCCCCCCCCCGGAGAAAGATGAAAAAAATCCTACTGACGCCTCCCCCACCCCACCCTCAGTCATTCATCCCACATAGATAAAACCAGACAATAGAATATACCATGAACGTTACAGAAGGCTAGTGTATTGAGTACTGAACGGGAAAAAATAGTGATAGAACAAAAATACTTCGACACCGCCAGTCACCCCCTACATCAACAAAGTAGTTTTTCATCTGTTGGGTTGCGGTAACCTTGTTAATTTTTCTCCTTTAAATATAAACATACCTTAGCTTATATAAGATAACTACATGACTTTGACGCTCGTATTTTGTTACAAGTATGCTTTTACAAATGTCATTTTACATACAAGCTTTTACAAATGTCATTTTACAAGTATGTTTTTACAATGTTATTTTAAATGTAATTTATTTATACAAAGTTGTTAAACCCTATGGTAAAAGCTCTAATTTTTTAAAATTGCAGATTATTTATGAATAAACTTCAGTTTATACTTCAACCCTAACTTGTTGCTTTAATTAATTATTATAACCCAGTAGTTTAATTAACGAGCACTATACGGCAACAGCTGGTGTATCATCGAATAAAGCAAAGTTTTATATGTGGGATGTGATGAGACAAGGGACATAACCGAATGAAGTCAAATCAATAAACTTGTCATAAACATTGACATAATCAATAGATTGACATAAACATTGACATAATCGATAGACTCTACATGTACGTTGACCCACGACATGACTCAGTGAACTGTTTCTATTAACTTAAAAGAATCTTCGACTTTTTACGATCAGATTATGTTTGAAACCGGGATAGTTGCACGTTTTAAAATCCGCGATTTAATTTTTATTGCAGGTGAAGTAGAGTTTTTTTTTTCAGCTTCTCTGTCGGCATTTGAAAGGATTGTGTTGTCGGCGCGTTGAACAGCCGTCTTTAAGTGTACTTAGGTACCCACTAGAACTGGGTTGTCTCCAGTTCGTCGCGGAGACAGGATACGAACCCCACACTTGCAGATTGACAATTAAGTGATCTGCTACCCGACCAGCTGAGTTGATTCAATAGATGTACAGACGGTGGTATTGTCGTCTACCATCATCATCTTTTTCCGTTCCTGCCCAGGAAGATGAAGTAGAGTTCATCTGCTTTAGAGACCATGGCATATTTTCCGCCTTTATTTTCCCTAACCCGAGTTAGGTACCCATCAAAGATGGGTGGACTCGGTAACGATTCGAACTCGAGACTTTCGGGTTAGCAGTCTAGCTCTCTACCACTAGGCCACGCTGTCCCATTCTCGTCGTCTATACATACCACTATCGCTGTTTATTATCAGCAAAATAAGCACAGCATGATTCTCGACACACCCTCCCCCCCCCCTCCACACACACGTGTTACACTAACGTGTGCTTTAAGCCTCGCATTATACCCATCCGTACAGTATTACCTTAACTGTGTCAAACCCTTCCTAATCCGAGGTCGAGTTCGTGTATAACTTAAGTCGGGACCTGGGATTTTGTTTCGAAATTCTTTCACCTCAAGTTTTGTTTTTAAAGGCTAATTTATAATGTTGTTTTTAAAGACTAATGCAGAGGCGTAGCGGGGGGGGGGGGGCGGGGGGTGCGGACCGCACAGGGTGACACCATTTAGGGGGTGACACCAAGGCAAAAAATAGCAAAATATAAAGAGAAAATGATAATTCCACTTAATTAAGTGATTAATTCGAGTTTTTTTTAAGAGATGCAAATCAAAAGTTTGAGGGGGGTGGGGTGCAAATTGAAAGTTTGACGGGGGGGGGGGGCTGCAAATTGAAAGTTGAAAGTTTGTCCCCGGGAAGGGTCACTACGCCTCTAGGAGGTGACACCATTAAGTGCCGCACCGGGTGACACCCGACCTCACTACGCCACTGCTAATGTATAAAGAGTTATAACAGAAAACGTTCCCAAAATATACTAGTAAATTTCAAGTGCCCCTTCGGAGAAAAAAGTCCTAAAGAAACACTGGCTAAAACGGTTATGCTCTATGTATGTTGAGCTAAAACTCAGTTTTATGTTTTACAAGTTTGTCTAGATTTTTATGCTGGACAGTCAGTAAACATTTCCGGTGTTTGGAAACATGCGCAGTCAGAATGCGCGGCAAACCTGCTATGGCAGTTGGGATTTATCGCTGTAATCTTTGACTCAGAACCGCTTGTCCGGCACGCTGCCACTCTTGATAAATGACCCTGCTAAAATATTGATGCACGGTTATCGTGGTGATACCGCCATAAAAATAGTGCTGAAGTAGAGTGGGGCTGAAGTAATCCGATAGGTAAACTGGCAGTATCACACGTACACCTCTTTATTTGGAACGGTTAGGGTCAGGGTTAGGGTCAGGTTTAGAATATCAGCAGTGTTTAAGGTTATTTAACCTATTGTTTTTTTTAGCATGTAGTTCGTATTTTAAACTACTTTTTACTCCTTTTTTTTCATTTTTGGTGTATAACAATACGACAATATTCTAGAAACATTTATGAGATTATGACAAAAAAAAAGTCTAGTGACAATTTAAGCGCAATTTCCTTATGTTATCTAAAAATAGCTCTGTCGTAACGTAAAGCACACACGGGGACAAAACACAAGACGTATAATGCTGGGGTGCGTTCAAGCTAGGAGAACGATCGGTTTGTAGGTGTTTATGTAATTTAAAAAAAAAAGATTTGTGACCGAACGAAAGGATATTTTTGAAAACTTTCTTCGGCAATATTGTTCTAAATTATGGCAGGAATCGATTGGTAAATGTTTCAAGTCGCTAAGTGGTCTGGTTGCCGAGATATGGGCCAAAAACTGCATGTTTTCGAGGTTTTTTTTTTTTTGGCTTTTCCGGGAAATCCAGGAAGAAATTCCGGGAATTTTTTTTGGCCCACAATCATCCTCGGAACTTGCTTAACATATTTGCTTTTGGAACTATTCCTCGATATTGCTTCGTTGAGGAGGAGATACGACTTAAAGCTGCGGACACACATCCATTCATTCATTCATCCATCCAGAAATGACGAGTTAATAATCGCAATTGTCCGTATGGAAATTGCGCTAAAAATGAGTTTAATGTATTATTTAAATCAAAACCATAAAATAATTACAACCTACAGAAAATGTTGCACCAGAATGACCTAATACAATCTCGATTCTATATAAAGGTCAAGGCATTGTTGTTGTTCCGATTGGGGGGGGGGGGGGACGTGAGACTTCCGGAGTGAACGAACAGTGATCTTAGTAAATAGGCTACTTAAATTTAATTTAGTTTCAATTCACCTATTCCTGATGGGTACCTAACTTAGGTTATGGAAAACTAATGCGGCTAGGCATTGTACTGACCACAATCCCTTTATGTACCAAGGTAAGTGAAACAGGTGAACTCTTCTTCTTTCTTGGGCAATAAAGAGAAAAATAACAAAGGAAGACAGGGCGACAAGGTTTTGAAAATCCTATCATCAAAGTAATTTTTTTACACTAAAAAAAATTAGGGTAAAACGTATAACGTTTTTAATAGTTTCAACCCGAACTATCACAAAGACAACTT